AGAGAGAGAGAGAGAGAGAGAGAGAGAGAGAGAGAGAGAGAGAGAGAGAGAGAGAGAGAGAGACTAGCATTTGGACCTGGAAATGCGCAGCCCCAGACAGAAGAATACATCTTCCTCATACCTATTTATATTTATGTACCTACCCATTTGTACCTGATGCTCCCAGAAACATGAGAGAGGTTCAACTCCACCTACTAGCAAGTAAGCTTATTATTCCTCTCTTGCTGTGAAAAAGCAGCACAGAAAAAGCAGCAATTTCCCTTCCATATTCCTTTCTTATTTCCTATATTGTTCTCCATAAATTACTTCTGGTAAGGGCAAGCCCATCTTTCATTGCTATTTAAAAACAAACAAAAAACAAAAAAACAAAACAGGGCTACGGCAGTGAGTCTATAACCCTTAATTGTTTTTGGCAACTTCTGGATCAATTGAGTATCGTTGTTTGTAATGATATGTGGGAATGACTTGGGAGACAGGAAGAAGAGACATAGACTGGTCAACTGGCATGGAAAAGTATCTCAGCCCACAGAAGGAAGCAGAACTTGGGAAGAATTTCAGAAGGGAATCTCCCTGGTTTTCTGCTAAATCTGTAGAAACTGAAGTGGAGCAAAGGAAGAGGGAAAAATAATTTAAGATAATTCAAAATTTTGCATTCAGAAAAGTTAGTGTCATATTATCTTAAGTACAGTTTGTAGGTTCTCTGTAACAACAATAGCACTAGCTTTTGTTTGGCTGAATATTATGCAAGCTTAATTACAGGATGTCTAACTGACCTATTGAAAAAAAATTAAAACCAAAAACACTTTATTTTTCTTTAACATTTTGCTTTCTGAAATGTTCTTGCCACAAACTCTGTCTCTCTCTGTCCTCTTCAGTCTTCTAATCCTTTTTTTTAAAAAAAAACCTCACATCATTGGAAAACATTCTCTCCAACTTGAACGTGCTTTTCTTCTGAAGATCTTAGGACTTTTCTTTCTTAGGATCTGCTCGTGGCTTGAAAAAAATTTAAGCAAATACCAAGAAACCATTTATGTAACTTTAGAACAAATGTGATCCTTGAGAGCATTCTTTTGCTAAATCTGTAGAAACTGAAGTGGAGCAAATTTTGCTTAATTGTCAGAAATAAAACAAAACCAACAACATAGCAATCTGTTGGGTGCAATAGTCTTTTAGCAGTAAGAACCTGAATAAGGGAACCAAAGAGAACATCTTACCTTGATAAGGAAAAACTGCTAAGCATATGGTTACCAAGAGAACTTCAATCATTTTGGAGGCTGGATTTGACTTGAAGACAGGCAATCTCTTCCTGCTTTCAAGCCAACCTGAGCTCTTCCTCTGTTGACTATGAGAAGCAAGGAATGAGTCCTTCAGCTTCATTCATGCCCTCATATGAGAAGGTGTTTGCTAAAGGATTTGCACAAATTCTGAGTTGTAACAATACTACTGGAGGGCAGTTTTCCAGCTGGCTTAGCGCATGTTACTCCAAAAATGACAGCTGCGAGGGTTCATTCAAGGCATCTCCAAAGCAAAAGCCCAAAGGAGGCGATTAATTGGTCACAGCAGACCTTTCCCTGGCTCACCTGTTAATACAACTGAATTTGGGGCCTCTGGTGCATGGGGTCTTAAATGCCAAGAGTTGGTTTTTACAGTATTTTGTGAGTAAGAGGCACTTTGGGAGCAATCCAGAATCCTTTCAATATTGCTAGCATTGACTGAATCCATTCAATGCATTTGCCTAAGGGATCCCTGATTTCACTACAGGGGGAAAAAAAACCCTCCGTGCCATAATAGATTCTCACTTTGGAGAGAACGCAAGAACTCTCTTCATACAACTCCTTCAACAACAACTCCATTTTCTGAAACGGGATTTATATGTTGATACAAATGTCAGCTGCAGTAATATGCATTCAGATTGAGGACAATTAATCAGTGGGATGGCTTGCTTTCAGAACTTGTGGGTGCTCCAAGATGGGAAGTTTTTCAGAAGAAATTGGACAACCCTTTGTCTGGAATGGTATAGGATCTCCTGTTTGAGCAGAGGGCTGGACTAGAAGATCTCCATGATCCCTGTTATCCTATAAAGGCCATTTGAAGGGGAACTCTGAGATGAATCACAGAGCAGAGTGAATCATTTGAATTGTCTTAAGAGGACCCACTTTCCCACTATAATCTCTCCTTTTACCTCCTCCAGGTCTCAACAAAGACAAGTGCGGAAAAAGGGGCACTACCCACCATCCTGTTAAAGGCAAAGCAGAAATCTTTGGTGAAGGAAAAGGAAAAGAGGAAAATCTACTTTTGATTAGTCTGTTTAGCAATCTTGGGGGAAAGAAAGCCCACAGTAGAAAGAGCACCTTCATTCCAAGAGGACAAGGGCAAAAGAACCATCTCTTCATTTAGAAACAAGGAGGTATGGGAGCCTTTGAAAGTCTCTTCGGTGGCCATCTTGCTGTCTTTCAGAACTTCTGCCCTTAACATCACCAGCGCTCCTCTCTTGAAATAACTCCAGACCAATTAAAATTGCAAAGCCTGTTAAGGGAAGAGCTATAAAAGTAGCACTCAAGCCACATCTTATGCTAAATTTAGTCTTTCTGTTTGAGGGGAGGATAAATGATAAACCAGTATTACCTGTGCTTTTTTTGTAAAAAAAAAAAAAAAAAAAAAAAAAGGTGCCGGAACTCACACATGTCATACAACCCGCCTTGCCTACCCTACATGGTTCCATCCAAAAAAGGTGCCGGAACTCCATTCTGGGCGTTCTATAACAAAAAAAGCTCTGAGTATTACAATGTATGCTTTCTTCAGCAAATGTATACCTACTTTTAATGCTTTTCTGATCTCAGTTTGATGCTGAGTCTGATCTAAAATCTCTAAATACTTCTCTTTCAATCACCTTAAAAATGAGTTACCCAATGAGCTTTTTTGAAGTGAGAACATGGTTCTGTTTTAAGGTGATCAAAGAATGAAGAGATTAAAAAATACAACCTCACTCTCCTCCATTAATTTGTCTCCCTGTAGCTCTATATTTTACTTCTGAAGGAGAGATCATCACTCACATCAGTAGACAAGGAAACTTCTAGATCATCTCATATTTCTCCCCTAGGATAATTGTTCTTCATTTCCAGGTGATTCAGATTAATTCTATCTAAATTATTATTGTCTGATCTGAGTTTTCCTGTCTCTGAATGTGGCTATGTTTGCTGTATTATTTATAAAATATGCTGTATTTGGACTGCACCATTTATTTAGTTTTATCAAAGTTTTATTTGCTAGAACTAGAATTTGTCTTTTTCCTTTGTATGAGTTGGTCAATGACTATAAGAAAGTTTCTTTGTGAATTATTTTAGTTGTTCAACACAACAGTCTGAAAAACAGATTCCTGACACTTACTGTATATCTAACACATTCCCTTATCTAAATTTGCTTTCAATTTTTTTCTTTAGCTAAGTCCAAGGTGGTTTTTTTTTTCTCCATCTCTTCTTCCACATTCTGGGCAGTGCAACACGTTAGGATTCCCCATCTGTTTCTTCCTCCACATGCTCGCTCATTAGGTAAAATCACAATTATTCATTTTTTCTTCTACCTCCAGTATGAAAAGAAAACCTACATAGCAACTTTTGCTCAAGAATTCACTAGCTTAGTCAATATTTTTTTCTACCTGCATTTTATTCAACTAGGTGAATGTATGTACAGGTATATGTACTCTATGCCTAAGGATTTTTCTTTCAGAATCTTTTGCCTTATCTTTACTAATTGTCCTTCAGACGTCCAGATATTGCTAATCAACTGGGCATCTCTCAACAGCCCTAAGCAGTTTGGTCAAAATATCTAGGATTTAATTTAATAGCATCTGGACTTATTGCCCATTTTTCAGCTTCAGCCCTCTTTGCTGATGCAGCAGTTCTTGTCTAAGTCGAAGTTGCCTCTTGGATTCCCATTCTCTATCATGCATGCTGTTCTTTAGAAGAAGAAGCTTCGGTACATCTCAATGATCTGTTTGTTCTTTTCAGTTATATTAAGAGGTAAACCTCTTGAGGTCCTTGTATTAGAGGTAGCAATCATAAATTCTTCTCTGTTTTGAGTGCAACAAATGCTCTTGATTATATGTGCTTGACAGGCTGCTTTAATTGTGATTGACAGCTTTTAGTGCTCCTGGAGCCATGTAATACATCCCAAATTGCAACTTTATCAGCTTCTTGGCCAGCCATCACCATGATGGGCCATGAACAGGCATTGGCAGCTGATCTCAAACAGTGGGCCATTGATTTAGAGCTGTAAGCAGAATCTCCAGCTCCACTCGTGGAGAATGAGTGGGCACCCATATACATTTTCTAAATAAATAAATTCTGAGAAATCCCTTCTTGAGCTACTCTGCACATCTTCTCCAACCAGTCAGATATCTCAGTCACACAAGTATCCCAAAATTCAGAAGGACCTTATCCCTAGGACAATTCAATGCCCTCCCAACAGGAATTCTTGAAGGAGGATACCAAAAAATCCCCTTCTGTCCATGTGGTAGAGGAACTATTAAATTGATGGGATATGTTGTCCTCTTATGCAGGTGCTTGCCAAGAATTATCTCTATTCTTTATTAAATAATCTGGTCATTCTGATTTGGTTTATTTCAAGATGTTGTTATTATTAGATCAATCTGCTTATGTTTCCTTGACCATAGCCAAGTACTGTCCTATAATTTGTACAGAATGCCATATTTACTTTAATCCTTTTTAGATATTTTAGAACAATTATATTTTTCATTTTTATCCTATTTACCTGTGATATTTGTGTTGTATTTGCTTGTCTCTTATTATCTATTGTCATAATCTAGGAGTTATTAGGAACTAAATGAAATTATATTATCTTGGTCAAATAGAAGAAATATAAAGAGAAAACTAATCAATGTAATTTAAAAAAATTGCTGCATAAGAGCTGTATTCAAGAATCTATTTTATTCTCTGACATTCATCTCCCTCATTTCTTCCATGGAGCTCAAGTGACATCACTTCTCATTCAATCCTCACAGCACCAATCTTGGGAGTTAGTCTGGGCTAAGAAATGTAATTGTCCAAAGTCACCCAGTGAGATGCATGGTAACTGGAGACCTAAACATGACTATCATGAGTCCAATGCAACATTTAAATTTATATCACATTGGCCCTTGAAAAAGATACCAAAGTAAAATAAATGTTAATGTTAATGTTAAAATTCAATTGGAAAATCTAGGATGGACCTCAATAGATTTGCAGATGATTCAAAGCATGCTTGCATATTAAACTTAAAAAAAAAAGTTAGGCAGGGAATCTTAGTGAAGTATTTTCTCCAGGAAATTAATATCCATTTCACCCCACTCATCAGTTGATCGAAACCTCTTTACAAGGCAAGAAAAACTGAAAATATTTGTGTGGGCACAGACTTTGCAGGCTAAAAGCCCTCCTGAATCACAACATCAATAGAAAAGGAAGGAGAACAAGGTTTCATTTGTCATTTATGAGCTGTCAATAAATTGTTTGCAAAGAGGATAAAGTTTACTGTACTTGAGAAGTGGATCCTTGCCAAGTCACAATATCCCATAACTGGCAGCAGCCATTTCAAATATACTTATAGCATTGTTGCACTGGGATTAAAGTCTTATTTTTCTTGGAAAGTAGGCATCAAAGAAAGAAGGGCCAGATTTAAGTCTTTGGAACCAGGACCTGTCCCTGGAGACCTCTGAATATCAGCACTACCCACAGTGTGCAACTCCCATAATATAATTACAGACCTATTGTCAGTTGCAGATAACCAAGAGCAATCATAGAACATAGAACAATGGGGTTGGAAGAGACCTTGGAGGTCTTCTCTTCCAAGCTCTGCCCAGGGCAGGAAACCCTATAGAGACAAATGGCTGTCCAATCTCTTCTCGAAAACCCCATCTGAGCCTAAAAAAGTATTTCACTATTTGAGAAAATTTAATGCTCATATAATCTGTCTTCAAGAAACACATATTAAAAACAAGTCCAGAAATATTTAACAAATAAAAGAAATGGGGAGGATTTTATGTCTGCTGGGCTAAAAAAGATTAATGGAGTGGTTTTATATATAAAATGCCAATTTAAACCTAGGCTACTTTGATCAGATTAATATGGTAGATTTGTAACGGTGGAAATTGAATTTAATGGAACAAAATCAATAGTGATTGGTCTTTATGTGCCAAATGAGGGAAAAAGCAATTTCTTTGAGTATCTTATGGGCCAATTCTCGCCTTTTTCATATGAAAATTGGCTTATGTGGGTGATTGTAATGGTGTGACTTCGCCACTTTGGGATAGAACATCTATTTAGGGGATCAAACCCTCCCAGGGTAAATTGCCAAAGACATTCTTTGAAATGATGGGCAATCTAACGCTAGTAGACTCATGGAGGCATAAAAAAGGGCACAAGGCACAAGGGTTTATGCTTGCTACTATACAGCAGAATTTAGTTAACTAATGGCCAGTGCTTAGATAAGAGATAAGGGTCAATGCAATTCATGGAGGGCTGGAACTGGGTCTCTTGTGGCAATGGGATGATTCCAAACTGATGTCACATTTAACTCCACCTTCCAGCTTTGTCTGTTATTCTCCTATATCTATATAATACATGGCCAAATGTTTTGTTGTTCATTTCTGGATTTTATTTATATTTTATTGTTTTTTTATAAATAAGTCAAGGTCGTGCACAAACCTAATATTCTTTCCTAGTCCTATTTTCCCCAACAAGAACCCTATAAGATCAGTTGAGCTGAGAAAGAAGTCCAAAGTTAATCAGTTGACCAGCATCTTAACCACTACACCAAACTGGCTCTTTTGACTCCATTTGTTATTCATTTTGCTAATGAATCTCTCCCCCAATTAGAACCACCACTAACAATATCCATTGATTTTTCACGAGTTTTGACTGCAGCTATGGGCATCTGCAGGGAGGGTTAATAAAAAAAGTGCCAAGATGGTGGCCACAAAGCCTTCTCTCTTTCATATTGGCAGGTGAAATGTGTGCATCCTTGACTGCCACTAGTCCTAATGTTGCATAAGCCCCATATGACTCTTTAGAGCTTTGGAAGATAAAATCAAAACAAGCAGAGAAAACAAAGAAATAAAGAAATAGATCAGGGAATTAAATGGTTCCTTTCTACATTCTCCTTGGCACTGATCTCCTTTTAATCTTCTTTAATCTCATTTTGTCTGTTACTTTCAATCAGATGCTGGCAAGACACAAGGAAAAACAACTGTCAAAGAATTATTATGCTTAATCTTTTGGCAATCGGTTGTTATTAGTGTTATTAAGGTTATTTTTTTAGGATGCAGGCTTTGCTACTGTAAAGCAATTGTTTTACAGTGCTGATACTACTGCTGTTTTTAAGCAACTGTTGCTCATGAATACTGTGGGGTCCTTTTGTCTTGCAGACATTTCATTACCAAACTAGGTAATATCATGAATCCTGCAAGTGAATGATATTTGCTCTCTATTTATGTAAAAGATGCTTTGCTTATTGGTATTTTTGGTATCTTTGTAGTCCCAAGGTCTTTGCTGCATACCATTACTGTTTCTGATTCAAAGGATACTAGATACAGGAAATGCCACTCCTTCCTATTTTCTTCAATCTTATCCTGCCTGTCATCAGAACAATGTGTGTTAAAATACATCTGGCAACAGAAATGCAAAGTTTACTCTCTTTACATTGACAAAATCCACATAACTGGTGAGCTGATCTGGTCAGATATAGTACTGACAACTCTGGGAGGTAAGCTGATCCATCAGAGTGGTTAAATGGGTTTTCACAGGTGGCTGTGAAATCTGGAACTGCAGGAAAATACAAACATATATTTTTGAATTGAATACTTGGGTACTAAGAGAACCAGGGCCAAAGTGAGTAATTTTTAGTGGCTCTATTTGAGGAGCTTTTTCCACTGCAGAATAGGAGTAGAAGTGGAGGGATGAGACTCTGGAAAACCAACTCTAGTCTCTGAAAGGAGAAATCTCCATTGTTTCCTTTACAGAAACTTGGGAGGATCCCTGATAAGTCTCTTGCTCCATCTACTAAGCAGCTGTGGGGCCATGTTGTCTCTTGTGTGACTGTTCCCTCTCTTTGCCCAGTCTCCCAAGGTCTTTCCCACAAATAAATTACTGTTTCTGATTCAAAGGATACTGGATACTGGAAATGCCACTCCTTCCTATTTTCTTGGAGCTTATCCTGCCTGTCATCAGAACATCTGGCAATAGAAATGCAAAGTGTACTGTCTTTCCATTGGCAAAATCCACATAACTGGTGAGCTTCATTTAGTTGTATTGTACCCAAAATCTTCTGGCCAAATGTGAGATGAAGAACTATCAAATAAAGTTACCTATACATTAAAAAAAGGTAAATGTTTCTCCTGCCAGTTGTGTCTGACTCTAGGGGGCGCTGTTCATCTCTGATTCACAGCTGAAGAGCTTCTGGGGTCACAAGGCCCTCATGAATATATGCAGATAGAAAACAAATATCTTCAATGTGTTAAGACTCATGCACAGTAGGAATCTGCAGTTGGGGAATGTCCACCTTTTTGAATCCAGAGAATCTTTACTAGCAGTCAGCATTTAGAACTGTCATAGAATCATAGGTCTGGAAGGGACCTTGGAGATCTTCTAGTCCAACCCTCTGACCAAGGCAGGAGATCTTATATCATTCTGGATAAACAAATGCCTTGAAAAGCTCCAGTGATGGAGCAGCCACAACTTCTGGGGTCAAGACATCCCACCCATTAATGGTCCTCACTGTCTGTGGAGATTCTCAATCTTCCAGGTCAGGGCTGGCCCAAAGGTTCTGTTCAAAAGGCCACTGGACTTTCTTGGTTGTTGTTGTTTTTTTCTGAATATTTAAGATAGAGATATTAAAACTGAAGGTTTCTTTAGGTATTAGGGACAAACCAATTGAAAAAACAATTTGGGACATTATCACTGTATATGATGACTGCTGTGAGGATTGTACTTGCTAAGCCCTGTGCTGACTGTGGAAGAATGGATCTTGAAATTGTCTGAACTAGCAAAGATGGCAAAACCAACTGCTTTGATCAGACAATGGACTAGAAGGTTTATAAGAGCCTGGAAGTCATTGGTGGACTTTCTACCTGTTGAAGACAATAATAGATGGATTCTCTCCTCTGGAATGTTTGTTTGTTTAATATAGTAGTTTTGTCAAATGAGGATGGGAAAGCTTATAACTATTTGTAGACCCATTACGTAAGAGAAGGAGAACCTAATGGTTTTTTCAGTGTTTCAGCATCCAGCCGGGGTGGGGGTGGGTGGGCTCTTTTTGTTCCATGTCAGATATGAATGAAGGAGAACATACATATCCCGGATAATGTTGCAGGATCCAATCTGGGTCAGTCACCAGGACCAGTTTTTGTTTCCTGACCTTTCGGACTCGTGCTGGACACAGAGAGGGGCTCTGAGCATGAGACTGGAAGCTTGGAAGACAAAACTTCTGGTCCTGATGACGGACCCAGATTGAATCCTGCAATATTAGATATATTCAACATTTAGGTCCCCCTCCTTTTCTTTTTTGTACACATAAAAAAAATTCTTTATTTTTTCTTTTGCTTCATTGTTACTGTTGGAGGTTCATTATTCTGTTTCTCTCTTTTTATTTTATTCGTGTTGACAAATGAAAACAAATGTGTTTTTTTTTTTAAAGGAAAATGTTTTGCTTCTTATCCAAGAAGTTTCTTCAGTTCTTCATTTGGATGAGAAGTGAAAGATTTTCAAGGAAAAGAAACAAAAAGGTCCACCTGCCTTTTGAAAAGCACCTTTGGAACTGTGTTGCAATATGTGGATTTATTTATTGTTAGGGGCTCCTTCTGAGACAAAATACTATCTTTTGAATTTTCTGGATAACTATGAATAAGTTCCTTTAATGCCAGTAGATAATTCTCCTGATGGTTTACCTCAGGATTGCATGCAAGTTCTTGATGCGGTTTACTCCAGCAAACCAGATTTGAAAGATGAGTCTTTACAAAATGCAGAATGAGAATAGTTAGTTTATTGATGAAAGCAGTTACATCATAGAAAGCCAGTGTGAAATTTTGGGAGAGAAAGCATTGACTTCGAATACACCAGCTCTAAAGGCAGAACTTGTTGCATTAAATGTGCTTTGCAATTGGCAATTTTTTTTCTTGACAGCAAATAAGCTCTTGGTGTTGTACATGCCCATGGAGCTTTGTGGTGGGAAAAAGATTTGATTACAGCAAAAGATAAATAGATTAAATATGGAGAAGAAATATTGCGGAATTTGGATGCCATCTGGAAGCCAAGGGTAGTTTACTAGTAGGATAAAGACAGATGGGTCTCTTTGGACTTGAGGGAAGTTGAACCTTTTGGAAGAAGGATCTCCAAGATCAAATCTGAGAGAAGTCAAAGGTTGATAAGTAGGCTGTAGTCACATCAACACACTGCCTGTTGCTGCAGACCTGAAAGTCAAAGCAAGAGATGATCAATGGAGTAAGACAGCAACTTCTGAACTAACCAAAATTTGTTTCAGGTTCTATATTGTATAAAAATCAAGGGGAAGTGACTCCTGATCCATTAAGGGTGCATTGAGAATGCATTGTGGGTTATAATTAGTAAGAAACTTCTGATAATCATCCTTACTACAATCGCTGAACAGTTTGGAAGGTTGATGGCTGTAGAGATGAACCAAAATAAGACCATGACATCATCCATATTTGGACTAGGAACAGAATTCATTGCAAAAACATATAAGGAAAAGGAATGGCTAATGAAGAAATGCAGTGATTTGTTTCCCTCTAAAGCTAACAAAATAGATAAGAGAACCCTTTGTAGTCCTTGATCTTAGTCCCAGATTATGCTCCCTCAGTTTTAATTCCACTAACTTTCCTTTCTTTTTTAACAAAATACATTTGTAATGAGAACTCCATGTGATATTAGTTGATTGAGCTGCATCTTGTGTTTGAGTGAGCTGCCTTTTATTTTCATTTTTAGTCAGCCTCTCTGTGGAAGGGTAATAATATAATTAAAGGAAAAACAGTGGAATTTTGATCCAGTTTTTCTTTTCTTCATTTGGAGGGATTGTACTTTTTATAACAATGAATAGAGAGCTAAGTATGCTAACTCTCTATTTGCCTTAAAGTATTTGTTGTTCATTTGTTTTGTTAAAATGGTGATAATATCAGCAACATGCCACTGAGCTCTGAAGCTGAATACTTAAACAGATGGAAAGATGGCAATCCTAAGCCCAGCAAAACATCTTCCTAATGTTAATTCAAATCATTAGGAATATAATCATTGCAGGGGGTGGAAACAAGAACGCAAAGAGAATCTGCTAGTGGCCATTAAATAGACAAGATGGTCTTCTTCCAAGGTCAAAGTTGCACCAGACCCCTTTGGTGGGGTTAATTGAGCAAAATTGTTTTCTAAGCAAAGTCTTCCGTACAAAACATCATGAAGTGTCTAGAAGTATTAAAAAATAATTATGATGCCCAGGAATACTTCAGGAAGGACAGGAAAGGCTACGTGGCATTCTCCATACTTCCTGCCCTCCTTGCCATTGCATGAAATGGGAGGCAAAGAAGTCCTCGGGCTTTAGCCGAAGAAACCAGAAATTGATCAACAGCTGGGATGCTCACTGAGCCTACACAAAACGCTTACACAAAAGTTATGGGGAGTTTTGCAACAGACAATTGCTGAGATGATTTTGCTTCCTTTTTCCTTCTTGATGAAGTAAGGGCTAAACTTGCACCCGGAAGAAAATATTGGTAGTCCTTGACTTGCTGTCACAACTGAAACCAGAATTTCCATTGTCCAGCAAGCCAGTTGTTAAGTGAGTTGTGCTGAGTTTTACAACCAGTTTTCCCACTTTGTTAAGTGAATCACACAGTCATTAAGGGACCCAGCTTGCTCCATTGGCTTTGCATATGGGAAGACAGCTGGGAAAGTCCCAAATGAGGATCCCAGGAATGAAGGATGCTGCAAGCGTCATAAATACACGATTCTGTGACTGAAGGGAGGCTGTGATGGCTGTAATTGCGAGGACCGGTCGTAAGTCACTGTTCTCAGGGCCAGTGTAACTTCGAACGGTTGCTAAACAAATGGTTGTAAGTCAATGACTTCCTGTACGTTGCTACCTGCTGATTTCAGAAGACTGCAATATATGACAGAGATGTAACATATTCTACCTTGATGAAAGAGCGAGGCAGGAAAACCCCAAGGATGCTAATTTATCCTTTTCTTCCTGCTGTTGCCTTGTTCAGAATAATTTTTCTCCCCATTCTGCTTCCCACTTTAGGAAAGTCTTTAATGTCTAACTTGGTTTCCTCTTTTACACATCAAAGATATTAATATTTGGTTTCTTTGGCTATCCTTCCTACGCTGTTTCTTTAAACTCTGGTTTTTTGGAGGAAGCTACTGAAGGATGGCTATTCAATTGTTGAGAACATTTCTACCTTTTTAAATATGAGACATTTTAACCACACGTGGTAAAGTGACACACAAATGACCAAAACCTTCCTTTTTTGTAATTCCCTGGCCATTTCATTTTTGTACGTTCTCAGCATATTTAATTTAACAATTAATTGATTGGAAAGTCATTAAAAGCTTTCCTCAATCCTTACCTTATCACAGGAGACATAATACATGCGTAACCACCGCAAGAACAGGAACCTTTGTCATGATGAATGCCCAGAGTATGACCTCCATGGCATCGGACCCGGATACCTTCGAGACCGCCTCCTGCCGCAGATTACCTCCCATCGACCTGTACGCTCCCATAGAGTGGGTCTCCTCAGGGTGCTGTCGGCCAGACAGTGCCGGCTGGCGACCCCAAGGGGGAGGGCCTTCTCTGTGGGAGCTCCCACCCTCTGGAATGAACTGCCCCCAGAGATCAGGGTCATCCCTGATCTCCCTTCCTTCCGCCGCGCCCTCAAGACTTGGTTATTCCAGCTTGCAGGNAATAATAATAATAATAATAATAATAATAATAATCTCATGGGCCATTGTAACTGCAACCCAAAAAATTATTGGGCTAAAATCCTGAAGAAGAGAGAATACTTTGTTTATTGTTAGTTCACCAAGAAACTGAATGTGAATCCAATTATTATTAGCACTAGGTGGCTAAAACTGGTGACTAAGTGACCAATTTTAAGTTGAGGGTACCATCTCAGGATTCCTCTAACTTTTCTGAATGTATGTGTGCCCACCAAGACTCCAGAACATACACAAATACATTTAGAAGGAAACTTTAAAGCCCAGAAGCTACAGCACAGGAGAAGATCAAAACTTATGCATCCATTTGCTGTCTGCATTTATTTACTTACAAGCAACTTCAATCCAAAAACTACTTAGTGTCTTTTGCTACAAGTTCACATTTTCAGAACATTGAAGGTAGAGATCCTAAACAGACTTAAGAATGAGTTGCTCTTTCTGAATAAAATGAACTTCGTGAGCAAACAGTCTTAGGATTCTCTCATATTACCAGGATCCTAACTCTGCTTTGTTATTGTTAGTTGCGAAGTCATGTCCAACCCATCGTGATCCCATGGATAATGTTCCTCCAGGTCTTCCTGTCTTCTACCATCTTCTGGAGTCCATTTAAGCTCACGTCTACTGCTTCCATCCAGCCACCTCATTCTCTGTCGTCCCCTTCTTCTCTTGCCCTCAGTCTTTCCCAGCATTAGGCTCTTCTCCAGGGAGTCCTTCCTTCTCATTAGGTGGCCAAAGTATTTAAGTTTCAACTTCAGGATCTGGCCTTCTAAAGAGCAGTTCAAGTTGATCTCTTCTAGGACTGACCAGTTTGAACACCTTGCAGTCCAAGGGACTCGCAGAAGTCTTCTCCAGCACCATAGTTCAAAGGCCTCAATTCTTTGGCGCTCAGCCTTTCTTATGGTCCAACTTTCATAGCCATACATTGCAACTGGGAAAACTATGGCCTTGACTATACACACTTTTATTGGCAGGGTGATGTCTTCTTCTTTTTAGTATGCTGTCTAGATTTGCCATAGCTTTCCTCCCCAGGAGCAAACGTCTTTTAATTTCTTGGCTGCAGTTCCCATCTGTGGCGATCTTGGAGCCCAGTAAAATAAAATCTGTCACTACCTCCATTTCTTCCCCATCTATTTGCCAGGAATTGAGAGGGCTGGATGCCATGATCTTGGTTTTCTTAATGTTGAGTTTCAAGCCAACTTTTGCACTCTCCATCTTCACCCACATCAAGAGGCTCTTTAGTTCCTCTTCACTTTCTGCCATTAGAGTGGTATCATCTGCATATCTTAGGTTGTTGATATTTCTCCCGGCAATCTTAATTCCAACTTTTGATTCATCTAGCCCTGCCTTTCTCATGATGTGCTCTGCATATAAGTTAAATAGGCAGGGCGACAGTATACAGCCTTGCTGGACTCCTTTCCCAATTTTGAACCAATCAGTGGTTCCGTGTCCAGTTCTCACGGTTGCTTCTTGACCCACATATAGGTTTCTCAAGAGACAAATAAGATGGTCTGGTACTTCGATCTCTTTAAGAACTTGCCACAATTTGTTGTGATCCACACAATCAAAGGCTTTAGCATAGTCAATGAAGCAGAAGTAAATGTTTTTCTGGAACTCCCTAGCTTTCTCCATGATCCAGCGTATTTTGGCAATTTGATCTCTAGTTCCTCTGCCTCTTCAAAATCCTACCTGTACTTCTGGTAGTTCTCGATCCACATACTGCTGGAGTCTAGCTTGTAGGATTTTAAGCATAACGTTTCTTGCATGTGAAATGAGTGCAAGGGTGCGATAGTTTGAACATTCTTTGGCATTGCCTTTCTTTGGAATTGGAATATAAACTTACTTTTTTCAATCCTGTGGCCACTGTTGAGTTTTCCAAATTTGCTGGCAAATTGAGTGTAGCACTTTTACTGCATCGTTTTGAATAGCTCAGCTGGAATACTGTCATTTCCACTAATTTTGTTGTTGCTCAGATTTCCTAAGGCCACATTCTAGAATGTCTGGCTTGAGGTCAGTGGCCACCCCATCGTGGTTGTCTGGGACATTAAGCTCATTCTTGTATAGTTCTTCTGTGTAGTTTTGCCACCTCTTCTTAATCTCTTCTGCCTCTGTTAGGTCCCTGCCATTTTGGTCCTTTATCATGCCCATCTTTGCATGAAACGTTCCCTTCATATAATAATAATAATAATAATAATAATAATAATAATAATAATAATAATAATAATAATAATAATAATAATAATAATAATAATAATAATGATAAAGTTTGAAGGGATCTTGGAGGTCATCTAGTCCAACCCCTTGCTCAGGCAGGAAACCCTATACCATTTCGGACAGTAATACCCCAATCAGGAAATTGCCAAAGAAGCCAACAGTAAACAGCCCAACCAAACAACCTCTAAGATCACTCCCACCAACACTGACAGGGGCAAGAAACTAGAATATAAACTGACAGTAAACTCCACTGCTCACTAGTGTTGATATTACCTAGTCTGAGTAATAAAAATCTGCACAAAAACCACCAAGCTCAGAGAGTACCAAGGACCTCTAATTTTAACCCTACTTATAAATATTCTTTATTAGTACTAAAAGGGTCAGGAAGGAGAAACACCTCATGTGCCCCATTCAGTCCCATTCAGTGATTTCTCAGGGACTGGAAGAGAGAACCAGCTGAGTCATGGAATCTCCTTCCCAGTATGAGTCTTACATAAAAAGCCATATATCTTGTATGAACAGGTATTGTACTACAGTGGTCAACCTTTTAGACTCAACAGACTCAACAATATGTCCAATTTTCTTGAATAGATCTCTGGTCCTCCCTATTCTATTGTTTTCTTCTAACTATATGAATTTTGTTGTATAAGTTTTGTTTATTGCCATGTTTCTCCATTTTTTTCTATGTGAACAAAAAACTAAGTT